TATCACCAGGTTAGATACTTCACACTAAAGTCACTACTGTGAATGATATGCACAATCTCATGTGATGTTTTGTGTATCTCCAATACGTGACCGTGTTATATCGAGTGCACAGAGTCTTCATTATATGCAGTGTCCAAATAACGAGTCAGATTGTTAACAGTGATACAGTAGCACACATAATAAAGAATGTCGATTTTCAAATCTTAAGAACATCTAACACGACTTAATTTGATACGCCCACAAATGTATCCAATCAGTATTAAGTACAGCGCCATCAAGGTTGTTTAATTTATTCTTAACATACAGAATAACTTGTACGTAATCGTACTATTTTCCCCGAAATTGAGTCGCGTCAGAGTTTTCATGTATTAAGAATAGATGACCACGGCGTCATCTTGAACACATACGGTGAATAGCTTGTCGAATAAAATAGTAATGGCTGCCAAACTGATTGCAATTTCGAACACTATGAGTGTGTACGTTACAATATTGATTTTCAAATGTTTCTGAGTGACTTTCATTTGACTCAGATAATCATTATTACATGCATCCTGAAATATCAAGGTACAATGTTTCAGCAAATTATGAGTTTCTTAATGAACACAAAATCGTGCGAGTGGGTGAAGGACTACATGCCTTTGTTTGAAACTAATTTCTGCTTAGAAAGGAGCGTATATATAACGTACTGTGAAATATTTATATACAAATACAAAGTTTAATGTCACTAAACGTACGAGTATGGGACGCTTAACCAAATAAATCTTAGTGTAAGTACATCAACATCCAGCTGTAACGAGCGTACTTTAGAAATAACAGATTGACTACTCTGCAGGTAACATAGGTCACATTACGTAGCTATTCAGTTCATTAAAACACTGTATCACGTAAACTCCAATGTGTCCATACCACGTACTGAGTGTTACCTTTTAAAATGGCATGTGGGCGGTGTTATGACGATGAATGATAGTAACGCATGCCCACTGTTAGCCACACTGCACTGTTAGCCAGACCAACTCAACCAGAAGATCGGCATGTCGTGGTAAAAGCTTGTCCCCTGTCTTTCCAATAGACGAGCGGCGTGTCTTACAATAGTTATACCATCGCATAAGGACGAAATGAAGTGCAGTGACACAATTTTTTTATTGTTTTGCATTGTGGTGAAGACATGCGCATGGTAGGTTTCGTGTATACTGAATATATAGTTACATACGGATGTCACGTCATGGCTTCCAACAATAACTACTCTATGAATTGTATACTTTACTGCACTGAATACAAATATATTGCTACATAACATACAATGACTATATATAATTTATACTTTTATAGGCCGAACAGTTGTACTTTTCAACATACATTGAGCAGAAACGCATCTCTATTGACAACTGTTTCTTATTTTAGTCGTTATACAACAAAATGTGGAATCTTTAATTGGGGTACTTGCAGTCGATACAGGTATGGAGTTTTTGTATTCATCGAGAGATTGTAAATTTCTATGGCTGTAGAGTATTATAGTTGTTATTGTGTCGATATCCAATGTAACCACCGAATTACTGTCTGTATATTCTCCCGGGTGATAACCGCATAATACAATAACTAGTGTAATTTAAAGCTTACTGTGTACGAACTGATATATGTACATTTTCACACAAAATAACAAGGTGGTCGGTTAAAGCATTCATTGGACACGCATGCTCCAAATCGGATCATTTTGCTGTTAAATCAGAACTATTTAATTTTTCTCATAAGAAGCTTTGGCGTGTTTTATGCAAAATATCGAGTTGCTCGGGCGAAGCGCTCATGAAAAAAATGGCTCCAAGATGACTGTCAGACTACGTGAATGATCAAAATTATGTTATAAATAGAAAATAGTTGATCGGCTGAAGCATTCAAGGTAAACAAATGTCCGAACTATTTTTGGTCATGGCGGAAAAAGTAACATTTAACGTTTTTATTCGCAAAATAGGAAGCGATCTCCCAAAAAATATCAGAATGCGTAGACTCTCAGAAAAGGTTCAAAATGCCTATTTCCGGTTCAAATTCAATCAAATATGGCTACCAAACCAATTGGGTTTGAAAATTTGGTAAACCAAATGACATTGGGGTTTATCATTATGGAAAATTTCAGACCATTCTGTATTTTACAAAAACGGCGAACAAAGAAAGAAAACCACGCGTCCATACTGATTTGGTTCTTAGTTACTAGGTAACTCTTATTTCAAACCAAGTAAGCGACTATATCTCTTTTTTCTGACCAGTCAATTCGATGTGAGAGCAGGTTTTAAGTACAATAGGCCTTATTCGACTTAGTGACAGTGAGGAAGTGACTGTTTTTATCCCCAAATAGTGATCGATTCTCTTTCACCATCATGTCCACTGTTGTTTCTTTCTCTCTCTCTCTCTCTCTTTGTCTATTTCTCTCTATTTCAAACATGGGATACTAGTGATATTAACTGACTTGTTCTAGTACTATTGTACTTGCAGACTCACTGGAAAGTACCTGACGTGCATCACTATTCATCACTATAGCTTTGTTAGGACATTGTCTCTGGGGAATCAAGCAGCCCCAATAATGCTTCCGACTCATGCCGTCTTTTCAAAAGAGTGATTTCTTTGAAGAGGGTCAGCAAGCAGACCACTTCTGGTATGAATAATTGCCCAACAAGTACTTAGCCTTCTTCTCTCTTTTGATAGTCAAAAAAGCATGCCCATCTCCTAGCGATTTCCCCGAGGACTCCTTCATGCTACAATTACAAACTATGGTAAACTATTGTGGGACTATCTGTTCTTACTTGAAGTTTAGCTGTAAGTATGAAGTAAAAGCATGAAACTGTGTACTTGTGTCATGGATCATTTCAATGATGTCCGAGGAATAGATGTGTTCAAAAAATGGCATTCTCTCTGAATGAAAAACCCTGTTTTTTGTTTGATAATTGCCAACAATTATTTCACAGTTCCTGCTCATTAGACAGCCGATAATATAATTATGCTTCATAATTCGTTACCATGGAGACGATAACTGACTTAAATAGCATAAACGTTTTTTTTTAAGGTTCTAACAAAACTTCTCTTTGTATGATGTATGACTAATGGTTCCGTATGTGATCTTTCACTTACAAGGTGTATAGTTTAGATTCCCTCAGGCTTGCATTCCGTGAGATCTCGGGTTTCATGGCTTTCATGGCCAGGTCTTTCCCCATAACCTACTAATTTTGTTTCTCTGTACGTTCTTAGTTTGTGATAAATTGCCTTTTGAAGACGACTGGTAGCCAAAACATATCATATCGACATCTCAAATCGACATAACATGTTCACACATTCTGACCTTTGGCGTATCCAACAAACTTTCCAAATGATTCCATTCAAGTGTATGCTTATATGTATCACACAAACATTTTCTAATTAAGCATTAATAAAATACAAAAGTCATAAAAAACCTAAAAACGCGATATTTCCAAAAATTAGCAAACCATACCATGTGCTGGATCATTCCACATCTCCACACATCTGTCAATATTGATTAAATTGTAATCCTAGATAAAAGTCCAGTAATCATTATTGGTAAACGTTAAGCATAAAAATACATTACGGAGACGATCAATATTAAGTATTATAATATACCAGTATATTGATGGTGTTAATCCATCGATTTGATTGGTCCAAACACAAAATTTGCATATGCAATTAATGGTATATTGGCTTATGATGCACAGCTAAACAATGCGGCCCTGGAACATGAATTGACTACAGGTTTAACGCGAAAATACAAATAATCTGTTGTATTTGATTTTTAGGGAAAAATGGTGGTCGAATTTTGGGAAAATATTAGAAAAAAATACCGAATTAAAAACATCTGAAAAATTATATAACCATCATAATATTGCTTTTTGTTAATGGCGGGATCCAAGTTGTGAGCGTCGGTCTTTGGGTGAGCGTCGTTCGCCACACAAACCTAAACTACCGGCCATCAACACCGTGAGGGACGGTGCCTAAACGAATACAAAACAATGCAAAAAACAACGAGTCGCAGGCAAAAATGTTTGCCACCAATAACAACCGGTGTCCCGTATCGGCGTTCGAATTCTAGATGACAAAATTGCAGTGAAATTGCACAAGGTAATTGCCATCTGTTTCAAAGAATACGGGACAACGCAGAATTCGACGACGATATATGGTATTGAAATTCTACACTATGGGTAAATAAATTACAGGAGATGATGAAGGTAATTTCGAAATCTGCAGATTTGTGCCGAGTGGAGACCACCCACTGTACAGAGCGCCGACGTGCAAAGTCCTTCGTTCGGCCGGAGTTGATACAAGGCATATCATGTACGTGTCACAAATCCGATCTTACACCAAGAAACTTATCTCAGAACAACGACAAAACTTGTTAGGCATACTGTCACAAAACTTCGGTTATACCAAATATGTATCCTAATCAGATGTTGGGACTGAGGACGCCGTGTCGGTCACCGCGTCCCGTCTTGTCTCATGTTAGTAGGATACTTTTAGATTACATCATTGTTAATGTCAAAGGTCACCCGATGTAACCCACAATGCTTTAGGGCACTTGTAATAAACATGGCGTTCTCCAGGTAACACTCACTGTGTGAGTCTGAGTCATTTCTTAGTCTACCGTGCCTATCAGGCATAACATGGTGTCAGAAGTACAAGAAGCCAGCGACAAGTATTCATCTCAGCACTGACAGGATCTGAGAGCAGTGAAGCACCAGAACGTGACAGATTGATGAATGAAGTCGATCTTCCGTAGAGGTTTCTCGAATTCGCGCCATACCACGAGTCTGACAGGAAGTCGTCATATTTGAAACCAAGTTAAGTCGGACAGTCGGGAACACATGTACATCGATTTAACTCGATTCTAAGTGAGTACAAGTAATACGATACTGAACATTATTGTCAACTGCAAGGCCAGTTAGTAAATCATTTTCCGACAGATAGATCAACTTACGTATTTACAAGCAGTCGATCTATTTATAGCAATGGCGACATACCAGATACCAGCGCCACAGCCCATGAACGTAAAGGGTGATGTGTCAACTAATTGGAAGCATTTTAAATCGGCATGGGAATACTATGTTGTTGCCACAGAATTGGGAGATAAATCCAAACCAATACAGGCTGGTGCACTATGCAGTGT